GATTTAACACTTATGCTCACCGAAAATAAAATTGTTGTACTGAGTTCAAATCCTGTTATTGTCTATTGCATTCATTTTCGCAACAATGTTATGTATCCAGCTTTCAACATCCACTAGCCATGAACAGGCATTTAAGAAAAAGAAATCTCTAAAGACAATTCTATGGCAAAGTCACCGGAAGACCTCTCTACTATATTTCTCAAGAAACGATGACAATTAACAGATAATAATAAACATGATGTTGAGGACAGCTATGACAACCTACATTCTAAAAGTAAACTTTATTTATAAAACTTCTTAATCCAACTTCTCACGCAAACAGTTTATTCTCGGCCAACAAATGTGCCATGACAGTGACGAGACATTTTTAAATACCTGTCATACCCGAACGTACCTATTCTATTATTAATAGTCTCTCCCACACATAATAAGTATTAGTAGTAGTAGCGGTCGCCAGTTGAGTTCGGTGGTGTTGAGTGAGTCAGTCGATGTCGGACATTGAAGTATCAACCATCACAACTAGATTGCTGCGTCATTAACTCTTATTTCAAGTTCCTAACGTTTTGTACGTCGAACCTAATTTAGGACGACTTAGTGAAATACAAGCCTCTACTGTGAAAACTACTCTACAACAATACCTAACAATAACATCAAGCAGAGAGGCATATTTATCCCGTCCCATGCATCAATGTATAATGGATAGAAAAAAATCCCATAAAACTTTGAGGGACACATTTAAACAGTTGCCATGAAGTATTACTACTAAATTAAAATAAATATTATCCCAACTATATTAGCAATTGAGTAGTAGTTGATCTAACGAGGCAGGCTCAATAACCATTGTACCACCTGTGAAGTGCCCAGTGATATTTTAACAGTAGCTTTGATGTGCCACATGGTCAAAAATATAAAAAACAGTTGTCATAGAGGATAACTACTAAATTAAAATAAATAATATTCCAAATATATTAGCAAATTTTCCATTGTTTACAATCATTAAACCTCATTTTAGTTTCATTGTTTAAAAGATTTCAAACCGAGTGCTATTGCTTCAGAAAAATAACATTTTTCGATACCACTGTGTTAATTTTTCAACACATGAAGACTTAAAAAAAAGAAGTACACACTTCCTCTGATACGCTCAGTGTTGTAACTTCCATGTTGTCTGTCACGAATATATTCAGTGAACAATATTCAATGTGTTAAGGAGTTTGTCTTCTTCAGGCACTGCATGAGTCTAACCTTTCATTCACGGTACATGGAGAAATATCTTCTGAAAATAAATTGTCTGCTTTTGTCAAAGAATAAAACTGCACACTGATAAGATTAAAGATCCGTATATTACCACTAAATAGTGCCCAACATTGTAAATCAATTGTTGGTCAGCTCTATGCTGTTGAAAGATATAGTCATCAAATAAATAATAATAATAATAGCTGGCCACTCGTATTCGAGAATACCAGACAACTAGGGCGGCTAGCCAGTCCCTATTGCAGACTCTCGATCAGGCACACCCACAGAGCCAACCTGTGGTTTTATACAGCAACTATGATGAGCAGACCTTAGTTACAGTTTCTGGGAGACAGTCTGTTATCTAGAATGATCAACAATCTGAACAACACCACAACGCTCAAACCCTCGATCGCGATGATTTGTGACCTTATGGTAGCACAGCTATTGACGGCCGCCAGTGTTCCGTCTACCCAATTTCACTCTTCCAGATAACATCAAGAAGTCTTTTTCCCGAAAAATCGACTATGGTAAGATTTGAACCCGGGTCTCGTGAGAAGAAAGCGTCTCATGGGAAGAAACGTTCTAACAACTTGGCCACGCGCCCATAAAATAAATAAATATATATACGCGCCCATTATATATATATATATATATATATATATATATATATATATATATATATATATATATATATATATATATATATATATATATATATATATATATATATATATATATATATATATATATATATATATATATATATATATATATATATATATATATATATATATATATATATATATATATATATATATATATATAATTATAATTAGAAGAGGATGATATAGAAAAGTAAAGAAGCAAGAGAAGCTATATTGATTATCGGTTAATGTTAAATGTGTGTGTTATTTGGTTCTTAGGGAGTGAGTGAATATATGTAATGAAAAACATATCGTGTATATTAATATTCTTTCGTTTTTATTATTATTTCTGTTAGATTCCGAAACTAGTTTCGGCCAAAATGTCCATCATCAGGAGAAAGAAAAATCTGCTTGCTAGTAGCAGTGAACTATAGAAATGAATATCTTGATCGAGAAAATTAAATTTTCTGTAATTTTCATCTGATTTTATTTTTTAACGTGAATTTTGGTCACTCCTTGTGTTCGTCAAACAGTCTCTTTTAAGTTTTATTTAAGATAAAAGGTGGATGGATTCATGCTGCTCTGAATTCCCTTGGTCATTTTGACAGTTTTATTGGTTCATG